CACCTTCTGCTGTGCAGACCAGTTCCTAGCAGGCCACGGACCTGCACTGGCCTACAGCCCAGGGGTTGGGGACTCCTGCACTAGAAGAAAATCCACAGACATCTATTGAGGACTCACCATATACAAGACAGCATGCTAGGCACACTCAGTGGCATGAAGCATGGTCTTTGCCCTCACAGAGCTTGGAGTTCTGTGGCAGAGGTAAGACATACTCACGAAGAGTCAAATATTAATATAAAGCTCTGTGCAATAAGTGACAAAAAGAGTAAGACAAACACTAAGAACTTAGAGGCTGGAAGAGCAAGAAATCAGTAGGGATTGGAATGCTTCAGGGTAGGTACAAGTAAACGGACAGGAAAGACGTGTAGGGCTCTGCAGGCAGAAAGATCTGTATAAACAACTATCCAGAGGAGGAAAGAGGGTGGTGAATAAATGTAATTATTATAGAATATTCTGACTGAAGCAGTGATTCTTAGAGAGTTTTAGTTGCGGAAAAAAGGTTGAAAAGTTAGGGAGAAAATTAAATAACAAGTTAAAAACTTAGACTTCTTGTTATATGAAATGAAGTACTCAAGACTGTTGAAAATTAAGTCAATGGAAACAGACCATCTCTCTTCTTCAGTATCAAAGCCATCAAAGCCACTGATCTAAGAGCTTGCACTTAGTTTGTGTGTGAAATAATAAGCTTTTGTCAATCAATGCATTATATTATATGAAAAGTAAGAAATTTGGAGAGGGTGGGAATGGGTCATGGGAAACAGGTATCATACCGATAAAGTGAGGTTTGCATTTCAGGTATCTTACTGTAGCTGCTACTTGGAGGATGGATTTAACAAGGATGAGATTGGAAGATGCCCAGGTAGAAGGCCATGGCAAAACTCCAGGCAAGAGTTAATGAAGGCCTGTACTGAGCTAGTGACAACAGGGATGGAGAGAAGGAGAAGAATACAAGGCATATTAGGATGCAACATTGGGACTTGATGATTATCATTGACTGTTGAGTGGGGTGATGAGAAGGAGGGATTCTAGACTGACCCACAAGTTTCTGACCTGGGGGATGCTATAAACTGAGTTCTGTGCCCCACTCCCTACCCAGGTTTGTATGTTGAAGCTTTAACTCTTAACATGATGGTATTTGGAGATGGGGTGTTTGGAAGTTAAATTTATTTATTTAAATTTTTTTATTTCCATAGGTTATTGGGGAATCGGTGGTGTTTGGTTACACGAGTAAGGTCTTTAACGGTGATTTGTGAGATTTTGGTGCACCCATCACCCGAGCAGTATACACTGCACCAATTTGTAGTCTTTTATCTCTCACCCACTTCCCACCCTTTTCCCCTGACTCCCCAAAGTCCATTGTGTCATTCTTATGCCTTTGCATCCTCATAGCTTAGCTCCCACTTATGAGTGAGAACACACAATGTTTGGTTTTCTATTCCTGAGTTAGGAAGTTAATTAGATTTAGAAGAGGTCATGAGGGTGAGGCCCTCGTGATGTGATTAGTGCCTTTATAAGAAGAGACACATGAGTTTATTTCCTCTCTCTCTCTCTCTCTTCACCTTGTGAGGGCACAGGAAGAAAGTGGCCATCTGCAAGACAGCAATAAGGCCCTTACTAGGGAACACAATTGGCTGGTGCCTTGATCTTGGACTTCTCAGCCCGCAGAACTGTAATAAATAAATTCCTCTTGTTTAACCCACCCAGTCTCCAGTATTTTGTTTGGCAGTTGGAGCTGACTAACACAAGAGAGTAGGTAGATAGTACTATTAACCAGGATACACAAGGAGGTTCTTTTGGGAGAGGAAGATGGTGAGTTCAGTGTTAACACTGTATAAATCAGGATTCTTTGACTGCCAAGTCATAGAAACCCATATCAAACTACTTTAGGGAACTTCATAAATTCACCAAATGGTGGAAAGTAGGGGTTGAGAAAACATCATCAAAACTAACTCTAAAAGCACCAGGATTAGCTGTCTGTCCTGACCTCTCTCTCTTTCCCTTTCCCTTTGGCTTCCCCTGTATTTGGGCTCATTCTCTCAAGGCCCTCCAAGTGGCAAGGGATATTCCACCAGCAGTTCTGGAATCCAAGAAGAAAGATAGCTACTCCTTCCTTACAACTTTGAAAAATTCCTGGAAAGAGATCCCATAGGAATCAAAAAACTGAATGAGATAGTCTAAGTCCCTTCTTTTGAGGAATTATAGTCATAAAAACACAAAAACTTGAAGATACTTCTGATATTTCCAAAGAACAGACCACAATCCTGGCATGTAATAAGAGCTCAATAAATATTAAATCAAAGGACAATGAATGGACACTTTCCATAAGATCATTTGGCATTTATGAAGTAGCTTCATGGCATATATTTTCATCTATTATAGAGTCTCTCCTTTGCCCCTGGCCCCAACTCATATGTCAAACTGTAACAAGTAGGTTGAAGTTTTTTGACAGAAGAGCCAAATTCTGCAGTCACACTTCACTCAAAACTCCTGGGAGACCAAGCGACAGGAGGCAAAAGCTGGAAAACACATTACACTTCGCATAAAAAATTTCTCCCTACCCCTACCCACCACCATCACACCATTTAAATTGTCCCACCAACTCACCAACACAGCATTACCCACTGCACCGTCTGTTAGGAAAGGAGGTTCAGAGCCCTAGCAGACCACTTCTGAAGACTATAAAACCAGCTTTACACTATCACAGTGAACACTGATTTCTCTTCATAATTCTACTGAGCTCCTCTGAAGTCATAGATTGGATGGGCACTTTAACAGCAATATTCATAAATGACAAAGACTAAAATCAGATTTCAGAACTGCACAGTGCATCTTCAGTATTGTAGCACATGATTTTTTTGCCTTTTGTCTGAACCTCAATCTATTTAGTTTTATTATATATATTATATTATATTATATTATATTATATTATATTATATTATATTATATTATATTATATTGTATTATATTATATTTAGGCTGCCAGTAACATTTATTGAGGGCTACCTCATGCATGACCCTGAACTATGTACCAAGAGAAAGATAAAAGCAGCTAAGTTTCCCCAAGGCACAATCGAAAGAGTGTCAAGAACATTATTTATTTGAAAAATCTAGATTAGACTCCTCCTTCTCAATCTCTGGATCCCAGTCCCCCAGAAACCTCTTTCTTCTGATCCCATGGCACTCCACACAGACTCATAAGTGGTCATGACCATTCTTTCCCCTACCTTATTGGTGGCCTCCAGTTCTTTCGTCATTTCCCTGCTGCCACTGTCACAGCCCTGTCATTACCAGCTGGGTATAGCCTTGACTGTAGCCAAGCAACATTTATTTGTTCCAGCTGAATGATTTACTTGTCTATTGAGTGGGGTGATGAGAAGAAAGGATTCTAGACTGACCCACAGGTTTCCAACCTGGGGGATACCATAAACTGAATTGTGTGCCCCTCTCCATACCCAATTTCATATGTTGAATCCTTAACCCCCGATGTTATGGTACTTGGAGATGGGGTATGCATGTGTCCACACACGTGCATATGCACACACACACACAACCCTGTGATGTATTCCATTACTCATCACAAGATAACTCTACCCTGGCCTCCATTACTTAGAGAACTCTAAAGATATAGTTCTTCACTCCACTTGCTTTTCATTACAACCCTCCTGCCAACAACCCTGGCACAAGTCTATAGGAACTAGCTTGACAATATAACACTGTTAACATCTCTAGCGGTTAGGCCAAGAGGCCTTCTGGTAACCTCCACCCTCACCAGCCCTGAGCCTCCTGTTCTTCCTACCTCCAGCCAAGGTCTTGCATCAAGTTCATGTGCATCCTCTCCTCCCTCAGGTCTGTATTTCCCTTCTGGGTACCCACTCAGAGGGGTCTCCTGGTTTCCCTAATGGCTCAGGAGTCTTGGGCTTGGAGTGGGGGTCCTGCGAGTGAAGCCACTCGAACGGACCCACACACCTATCAGAGTCCATAGCAGAGAAACTTTCTAGACCTGTGCCCCTGGGGTTCCCTCTACACAAAGATGATTTGTGGTCAATTGTTTGGAACTCAGAGCCATTTTCCTCCCTAAGCAACCTAAAAAGTGGTGGGTAGGTGCTCAGGAGAACTCACAAAACTCCATTTGACCCACAGACCTAATCTGGAGTTCTACACATATGACAGAAACTACCTAACTAACAATATCCTGCGGTTCTATGGTTGCCGTGGGGAAGTGAGTTCTAAGTTCTAGCCAGGATCACAACTCTGCCACTGCCATCAGCAGGAACATCCCAGCTTTCACCTTCTGCTGCTTGCCATCCCAAAGGTAGGGAATTGCCTGAAGCCTAGAGAGTGTTTGTTTGTTTGTTTGTTTGTTTGTTTGTTTGTTTGTTTTTCAAGGGGCAGGGGCAGCTACTTTGAGGGCTGAGGTGAGAGGATCACTTGAGCCCCAGAGGTAGAGGCCGCAGGGAGCCGTGATCATGCCACTGCACACTAGTCTGGACTACAGAGCGAAACCCTGTTTCAAAAATGAAATAAGGCTGGGTGCAGTGGTTCATTCACATCTGTAATCCCAGCACTTTGGGAGGCCCAGGCGGGTGGATCACCTGAGGTCAGAAGTTCAAGACCACCCTGGCCAACATGGTGAAATTCCGTCTCTACTAAAAATACAAAAATAAGCGGGGTGTGGTGGCACACACATCTAATCCCATCTACTGGGGAGGCTGAGACAGGAGAATCACTTGAACCCAGGGGGCAGAGGCTGCAGTGAGCCAAGATCGCACCACTGCACTCCAGCCTGGGCAAGACAGAGCAAGATTCCATCTCAAAAAAAAAAACACAAAAAAACAAAAATGAAATTAAAAGGGATGAGGGGAGCAGAAAGATGTGACTCTGGGAGATGAAGCAGGCTGTACAGGCAGGAGAGTTCAGAGGGGCTGCCTCAGGGTTTTGGGCTCCTCCAGAGACTCAGGCTGCTCCCCTGTGTATCAATCCGGAAGACAGGCCTTGATGGCATGTTCAGCCCGGATAGGACTCCCATCACAGTCTACACTACTGCACTGATGCTGCAGAGAGCAATGGATTTGGGGGTTCTAATGGAAGAGAAGGTGGGAACTCAGAAAAGTCTGTCCGGTTTCTGGGTGAGGTCAAATAAGGAATTTTTAAAAAATGATTAACGACTAAAGCTAGATCAGTATTTGATCAGTATTGTACTTAATGAGGTCAAATCCAATTTAATACACCATATTATGGAATTCTGAAATACGCAGCTTACAAATATTGAATGTTTGTCAATCCTGTTAGATATGGCCCTTTTGTAGATTTGGGAGAACCCTCCGCCTTTGTCTGTGTCTAATCTCTCTCTCTTACTTGCACTTTAATTAATACTTGGCTTGTGTAGAGTCAGGATAAACTTACTTATAAGTTAAAAAAGCTAAATGTAAAGAAAACAAGTATTAACCTCTATTATATTTCCCTGGATCTGTTCAGAAAGGTAAAATATATATATATAAAATATATATATATATATTCATTCTTTTTTTCTAGATGGTGGACTAGGAGGAGGTGTGAAAAAGTTTTCTATATTTTTAATAACCTTTGTTCAGAGACCCAAAAAGTAATTTTTAAAATGACAACAGTAATATGAAAATGTTTCTTTTCATTTCAAGTATGAATGCATTTAAATGACTTTTCTTTTATCTAAGTCTACTGTCTTATTCCGCTCTCATCTAAGTCTATCCTCTCATTTTATTTAAGATATTATGGTGTCAAATTACTTTCACCTGACCACATACTTGAAGTGGAAAAAAGGGAAATGATTATTGAGAAAGTTTACCAGATTCAGGAAAGAAACCGAAGGGCTATTTTAAATTCCACAATCCTGGTAGCTTTGGTGTTCTCAATTAACAGATTAAATAGTTCCATGAGAATTATTTAGATGCAATCAATTCAATGGTGTTTTCTGAAACTATTATGTGTTAAACAATGCACTGTAGTGTGTCACACGAGTATCTACACACAAAAGCACACAGCATGGTACCTTCATTGGTGGAACTTATAATTTTTACATATGTGAAAATTATTTACATGAACTCTGTTTAACATGTAACCAACTACTAAACCCAGTACCTATGGCTTTCTTAAATAAGAGAAGATGAGGGACCCAAGGTAGCTCCAGCAAACAAGTTACAATTTAAATTGACAAGTCCTTTGAATGTTGGAAATTAATAAGAGCCCAAGCAGGGTTAAGCTTGGCCTTTTATAAGAGAGTATGGGCCGGGCTCGGTGGCTCACTTCTGTAATTCCAGCACATTAGGAGGCAAAGGCGGGCGGATCTCCTGAGGTCGGGAGTTCAAGACCAGCCTGGCCAACATGGTGAAACCCCGTCTCCACTAGAAATACAAAAATTAGCCGAGTGTGGTGGCACGTGCCTGTAGTCCCAGCTATTCAGGAGGCTGAGGCAGGAGAATCGTTTGAACCCGGGAGGCAGAGGTTACAGTGAGCCAAGACTGTACCACTGTACTCCAGCCTGGGTGACAGAGCAAGACTCCAGCTCAAAAAAAAAAAAAAAACCAGAGATTATGAAAAAACTGTGCTAGGCACAGTGGCTCATGCCTATAATCTCAGCACTTTGGGAGGCTGAGGCAGGCAAATTGCTTGAGCCTAGGAGTTCGAGACCAGTTTGGGCAACATGACAAAACCCTGTCTCTACGGAAAATTAAAAAAATTAGCTGGGCGTGGTGGTACATGCTACCAGGGAGGCTGAGGTGGGAGGATCACCTGAGCCCAGGGGGAGGGCTGCATTGAGCCATGATCACACCCACTGCACTCTAGCCTAAACGACAGAGTGAGATCCTGTCTCAAAAAAGAAGAAAAGGAAAGGAAAAAAACTGGCCTGAAATGGAAAAGTTATTTTGGAGCACTTGGGAAGACATAAGAGAGAGGAGAACATGTTTTGAGAAGATGGGCTTGTCAGTGGTGTGGAGGTGCATAAGAGGAAAATACATCAATTATGAGGTCACTGCAGTCTTCTAAGGGGAATGTGGCCAGAGTTAGCACTAGTGTGGACATATGAAAATGAAAAGGGAGAAAGACAAAAGGCATTTCAGCAGAAATATATAGACACAACGTGTGCATCATTAGAGTAGGAGACAATTCTTGTTCCTTTTAAAATTTTCATCTTGGCTCTTTCCTTTTCTCTGGATCCGTTTCCTCTATGTCTTTTATTTTTATGTCTTGTTTTTTGTTGCTGGTGGTGATTAGGTTCACATTTTGTTCAATTTTTTAAATTTGTATTTTAAATTATACAAGTATACATGTTAGTTTTGGAAATTTTGAAAAATACGCAGGAAAAGTATAAAGACATTAAAAAACACCTGTACTCCCACCACTCAAATGATTTCAGATGACATTTTTTTCCAACCTTGATTGATGCATTTAGGAGTGATTATTAAACAAGATGGGCTTGGTGGAGTACATAGATGAAGCAGCTTGATGGCTTCCTTTCCACCATGGCCTTGGAGCATACTTCATCAGTTCCCCATTCTCTGCCCTGAGCCCCGGTTCAGGAAGATCCCATAGCTTTCCTGTCATTTTCAGGTATTGGCACTGGGTCGTGTGCCAGCATTAAAAGTCCATATCTAAGTCAAGTCAAGACTTCTGCCTTCTGTGAGCTCAGGATCTGCAGTTTAGGGGCTTGGAGTGGAAGAGGTCATGGTCTGCTTTGTCATTCTTGTCACCCTATCCTATTCACACTGTGAGAAAATCCATATACCCTTACCCCAAGAGTGGAAGTGAGGCCTGTTCCCACTGCTGCCCACTCTCTCTTTGCCCTGACTTTGTGGACTACTCTGGCCAACTTCCCACCTTCAGATATTGCCAGTGCTGTCTCAGGCACCGGGGTCTATGCCACAAAGCATACCCTTTTATGCTCTCTACCCCTGTAAATTCACTTCAATTGTCCTTTCTGAGAAATCTCTTATATAGGCTGCTGCTGGTGATAATGGTGAGCACTAGGCCTTTCTTTTTTAAATTTATAGTAAATATTGTGAAGCTCTGTTTAACCCCTTTTTTGAGAATATGAGGATATTTGTTATCAATTATTCTTAGCTTTGGGCTTTGGCCAAAGTTCAAGATGATAGAAAAAGTCCATTTCATATCCTAATATATATACACAGACATATACACACATAAAATAATAATAATTAGGCCATGCACAGTGGCTCATGCCTGTAGTCCCAACACTTTGGGAGGTCAAGATGGGAGGACTACTTGAAGCCAGGAGTTCAAGGCCAGCCTAGCCAACATAGTAAGACCCTATCTGTTTTTTTAGGAGAAAAAATAAATAATAATAATAATAATTGAGACCACATATCATTTGCATCATTCTTATCTTCCACTAGCATTGTAGAGTGAGCATTTCCTGTGTCACAAAACAATATTCCAAAAACATGATTTTTTTCTTTTTTTTTTTAATGACTGCATCTTGTAATGGCAGTAATACAATTATAGGATTAATAGACCACAGGAGAAAAGGCAGGTGATGTTTCTGGAAGACAGACATGGAGTACAAAAAGGGAGTGGAAGAGTCACATGGCAATCATTTAAAAATACAGTACAAGGTTGGGTGTGGCAGCTCATGCCACTAATCTCAACACTTTGGGAGGCCAAGGCTGGTGGATCGCCTGAGGTCAGGAGTTCAAGACCAGCCTGACCAACATGGAGAAACCCCATCTATACTAAAAATACAAAATTAGCCAGGTGTGGTGGCGCATGCCTGTAATCCCAGCTATTTGGGAGGCTGAGGCAGGAGAATTACTTGAACCCAGGAAGCGGAGGTTGCAGTGAGCTGAGATTGCACCATTGCACCCCAGCCTGGCAACAAAAGTGAAACTCAGTTTCCAAAAAAAAAAAAAAAATACAGTACAAAAACATGATTTTTATTGTCTCATAATTTTTCATCATATGACTGTTCATTTCTCGTATTCAACCATCACCCAATTACACATTTATAATTTTGCTAATATAAATGTCATTGCAATAAATATTCTTGTATGCAAATCTCTGTGCACATCTTTGTTTATAGTCTTAGGATAATCCTAGAAATAGAATGTTTCAATCAAAGGTTATGGACATTTTTAAGGCTCTTGATACCACAAGAAAATCCCTCAAGAAAAGTGAAATAACCACTCAATGTGTGGAACAACACACACATTGTACCCAAACATTATTACCAGATTTTTTACATTTACAATTTGATTAGTGAAATATCATACTTTCTTGTCATGGTTTATAATTCTTTGTTATTGAGGCAGACTCTTATTTACTCTGTATTTTTTCTTCGGCAAATGGTCCGTTCATGGCCTCTGCTTATTTTTCTCTTGGAATCTTAATGTTTTCTTATTGATGTAGAAACTCTCTCCATGTGATAAGAATAGTTATCTTTTTTATCATATTGTATTTGTTGCAAATGTTTTCCAATTTGTTCAACTTGATTTTGCAAGAATCAGGGCAACTCTGTGGGCCTTAGGAAATAAAATTATCGTCAACATTTACCAAGCTTCTAAATCTGTCTTTCCGCTTCTCCTTTAATCTCTTGTGGTCTCCATTGGGCTTCATGTGCTTCTGCCGGCAGCTTTCTCTGGATTGACAACCTTCTAGCTTCTACATCCAGGGAGGCCAAGAAGATTTAACTTCAGGTGGAAAAACTCAGGGCAGGCTGAGTGGCCCAGCTTTATAACATGCTCACCTCCACACCAATCACTGGTGCCAAGAAAAGAAAGTACTCTGATTTGCCAGATTAAGACACGTTGTTAAAGTGAGACGAGAGCCCCTAAACAAAGGAAAGTGCTAGATAAACTGGGCAGACAAAGTAAAACAAAACCGAAACAAACACAAATACTGACATAGGTCTTTCCTTAGTATTTCCTTCCACTAGCATGATACTTCTTTCTTTATACCAAAATTAATACATTTACATTTTTCTTCTGGATTTTTTTTTTTTTTAATTGAGATAGTCTCACTCCTTTGCCCAGTCTGGAGTGCAATGGCGCTATCTCAGCTCACGGCAACCTCCGCCTCCTGGGTTCAAGTAATTCTCCTGCCTCAGCCTCCCAAGTAGCTGGGATTACAGGTGCCTGCC